TTATTGGTAATAAATTTTTTTACTTTATAATATATTATATTATTTAATAAATAATGTATTAATATTTTATATATTATATTACATTTACTATGTAATATACTATTATTGTATTATTATATTATTGCTTTATTATTAAATATATTGATATTATATAATATTTTATAATTATTAATTTATTGTTTATTATTTATTAAAAAATTAATAATATTATAGTGATTATACTATTGTATAGTATACTATTATATCATTATTTATTATGAATAACTTTTTTATTAATTTATTTATATATAATTATTTAGTAGTATATTACATTAACTATATTATTATATAATACATTATCAGCATATTGAATATTAGTATATAAAATATTATTATATAAGGTATTTTAATTATTAATATATTTTATATTATTTAATAAATATTACTAATATATTAGATTAATTATAATGTAGAACAATATAACATAATATATATGTTGATACTAACTATGTATTAATTATATTTAACATATTATGATATTATATTAACACCTTCTCAAATCCAAAATCAAAACTTCAAACTTAAAATACCTAAAATACGTTTTGAAATAAGTATTGTGTTTTTTGTTTGATGATGATTTAGTTTAAAAAACACCGTAGCTTTCAAACGTATGATGTTTTATTTTTAATCTAAAACATCATAGAAATAAGAAAAATATCATAATATACAAAGGAAGCCTTAATTGCGTTGCAACTAATAAATTAATAGAATATCGGTTTTTCTATAGAGTGCCCTTGGGCACTCTATAAGAGAGGAGAGAGATAGAGAGAAATGAATGAGGAGGGAGGCCTCCTGATTTGTATTAGGATCCTCTCTTTATTTATTTCTCTCTATCTCTCTCCTCTCTTATAGAGTGCCCAGGAGCACTATGTAGAAAAACCGATAGAATATAAACAATCACTCGCTTGCTCACACAATAATTCAAGAAAAAAAGCGGCCACAAAACTCCTCGAGTTTATCCCCCACCCATCCGAAACGGTTCCCCAACAAAGGCAAACCCAATCTCCACGTGGCAGTCTAAACACATCCTTATCCTCGGGTCCCACATCCACGCCAGCTGCGTCCCCAGTGCGAGCAGTTAAGTTGGCCCCTAGCATCCTTCAGCCTCTAACCTGTCCCAATCGGATACCACTCCCGAAAGCATCCAATGCGGAGAGGACAAGTGGATACAGGTTATTCTTTGGATGAATTTCATAAAGCCCCTGGACTTTGAGGATGTTTACATAAAGTTTCTATGAACCTTCAGAATTACCCTTTATGAATTAGTAAAAAAAAAAAATCTAATAAATGAAGTTAATGTAAAGAAATTTTTTTAACGGATTGTTTTCATCACTTAAATACCTAATTTTTTACATTACTTATTGTTGATTTCAGATATTTAACAGGGGAGTTTAGGGTTCATCAATCTTCTTTGATGGTTGATTATTGAGTGGATGGTTCGATCCTACAGACAAATACTATGTAAGAGGATCGGAGTTGAGTTCTCCCGAGATTCTTCCCAATGTCAATTCAGTATTGATCTTAAGGGGAGGAGAAAAAGTATGATTTATCGTGTATTATGTTGCGATAAAGTACGTACATTCATGCAGTAGGCAATGCGCCTATTTGTAGCAGATCCATAAGGGTAGTTGTGTAACTTCGGCTGAGTCCAAGCAGTCAGCTTATCCTGCTAATATCTTACAAGTGTCGGCAACGGGTGGTCTAAGTCAGCTTTGTGATTAACGCAACAGTGACATGGGGCTAAGGTGTTGACAAGGTCCGACGTGTCATTAAGACTTTCGACAGGGTATAATGATGACTCTGACCGCGCCTTTAATGCGATGGTGACTGGTTGTCATCGATATATTCGAGAAAGATAGCCTTTAGTCTCGACTTTTCGAGGGGGCCATCAACTCGGTTGCTCTAAATGAGGATACCTCTTGACTCGATTGACTGAACGAATATTGAGTTTTAGCAGCAGGCCCGACGAGGATGTCGTTCGACTCAGCCCTCCTGGGAGGGTCTGAGTGAACACGTCATTTACTCGGCCTTCATGATATTGGTTCGAATTAGGATATAGTTTATTTGAGACACGTGTTATATCCTTGAATAAGATTAACACTTAGTCATTTCTATGGTACAATACAATACTTCTAACTTTGATATCATGAAGAGTTTTTGCGTTAAATATCCCAAAGTTAAAAAAATTATTACACCTTTTCTAAGTCCTTTTTTAAGGCATCAAAGTTTATTTTTTTTACCTTTGAAGCATTTTTTGAGCAAAAATAATTTGGAGATATCAAAGTGAGACACGACGTGGATTTCTGAGTTATTTAATAGCATATAATAATCCTAAATTAAGAAAACTAAAAGTATGATGTAATTGTTGCATCTTATTCTCCAACATGAATATTGTTATTCAACTTTTTTATTATGAACTTTGATTTCTTTCTACATTCAAACTCGTTACTCTAGCAGTCGTTAGACCATCTCCAACCCATTGCACAAAAATGGTGCAAATTTTGCATCAAAATGGAGCAAAAGTCACATCAAACAGTAATACATCTCCAACCCATTGCACCAAAAAAAGAATATTCTCAGTATATTCTTAGTTTATTCTCTTTTATCTATTTTTATATTAATTAAGAGGTAAAAATAAACAGTTAATTTTTTTTTTAAAAAGTGAACAGTAATACCGCGGATGAACAGTGCGACGCCATATTTGGTGCAACACTGTTCAAATGCACCAAAATAGAGCAAGAAATGGGGCATGATTGGAGAATGAACAGTGTAAAAATGTACTGTTTGCACCATTTTGGTGCTGGGTTGGAGATGCCCTTAGAAGAGTTTAGGAAATAAGATTTTGAAATTTTAAATTGGTTTTATTTGATTTTACAGTTCAAAGTGCAAGGGGTTTTGTGCAAATTTCCATTATTATTCCCCTGCAGCTGACGACAGAGTCTTTAATGAACTAAATAGGACAGCGATAGCTCACAGCTTATCAGCTCGCTGTCAGCAGAGATACTCTCCCGAATAAAAAAAATAATTTATTTTATTCCCCTTTTCCCTGTTCCATCTCCCAAATCCTTTCACCCTTCTTTCACTTTCCCAATTTTTATTAAAAAACTTTCTGTATTTATTCCATTTATGTCTGTTTTCTTCCCTTTGTTTATAGAGCTGGGTATGTTTTCTTTGGATTTCTAGAGAATTACCTATCTCGGTTTTAATCATTTATTTTGGACAACCAGCTGAAGTTACTTGTTTTGGGGGCGGTTCAAAATCTGTCATTTTCAGATTAATTCTTGACCCCTTGTTGCTTTTTGAAAAGCTGAAGTTTTTTTGGGTTCAAATTTATCCTTTTGAGTTGCTTTCGATCCTTTCTTCTCCCCTTTTTGTGTTGATTTCTGCTGGACTTTTTTAGCAAGTTGTGCGAGCTGTAAGTGGAAAAAACAAAAAGAAAACAGAGATTGGAGTTGGTTTGCTCTCTTTGGTGATGTTTTTTTTTTGGTGGGTTATAGCAATTTGTGAGCTTTTAGTGTAAAAATAAAAGAAGAACAGGAGATTGGGTCTGATTCCCCCCCTCTTTGGTGATTATTTTTGGTGGGTTTTTTAGCAAACTGTGAGCTTTAGTGGGTAAACAAAGAAAATAGAGATTTGGGTTTCTTCCTTTGGGAGTCATGAGGAGATCGTACGTGATGCTGGGTTTAGCTATTTCATGGATCTTAGTGATGGTGGGTTCAGTGAACGCCATAGGAGCTAACTGGGGAACACAAACAAGTCACCCTCTATCACCATCAAAAGTGGTGCGAATGCTTAGAGATAATGGATTTCAGAAAGTAAAGCTCTTTGATGCAGAGGATGCAACTCTCAATGCGTTGAGGAAGACTAACATTGAGGTGATGGTTGGGATTCCGAATGAGTTGCTGAGGAGTTTGGCGACGAGTATGAAGGCGGCAGAGAACTGGGTTGCGAAGAACGTCTCGGGTTATGTTAGTGATGGGGTTAACATCAGGTTTGCTTCCTAGAGACCAAGGACATTTTGTATTGTGTTTAGATTTTGTAATGGTATGTTTTTATTGCTACAATGTTAATGTGTTCTTAGTTTGGTGGATGTGTATTTCGTGTTCGTAAGGTTTTATGACATGTTGAGTTTAGATAGAAGAGGACATCTAGAAGGTACCTGTGCACCCTTTATTACCAAAAATTAGTTGAGAGTCCACTTCCCTAATTACAACAGTCTATTATTTGATTCGTTACTTCGCTTTTCTATTCAAGATGAATCGCACCTGTGCATTAAATAATAGGTGGTTCTGATCGAAGAAGTGGACTTTCCGTTACCTTTTGGCATTGGAAAGGATCTGAATCCATAGCCATGACTTTTTTCTTATGAATACAAGTTAACGTCCTTTAGAATTAATTCCTAACAAGGAAGTGATACTATTATATGGGGGAAGCCATGCTTATTTTGCATCATACCTCCTTATGGTGAACAAACTAGGTGAACCTTTAGGCTTCATTAATGCTTGCCCTCCCCCCTAAATGTAGTCGTGGGAAAAAGAGAAACTTTTTAAGGGGCTGTTTGGTTGTATGTTTTTACCATGTAAAAGGATGGAAAGTGTAAAAAAGTGGGTCCCAATATCAGCTTTCATCACTTTCAATTGCTTATTTGTAGTTGTGAAAATAGTGTAAAGTGATTTCATATGCTGACGTGGCTTGTAAAGTGATTTCATAAAATAGTTGTGAAAATAGTGTAAAGTGATTTCATATGCTGACGTGGCTTGTAAAGTGATTTCATAAAAAAAAAGATATGATTTTAGGAGAAAGCTGACATTGAAGTCAGGAAAAAATAATAAAAAATAATTCCAACCAATATGATCATTTGAGTAGGGACCACTTTTTACACTTTCCAAACAAACAATTAATGATTCCAATGGAATCAAAAACAAACAAAGAAAAGTATAAAAGTAAAATTGATGAGGTGGACAACAACTTTTCAAGTTGTGTCATAAATACACAACTTTACCAACAACAACCAAACAGCCCCTAAAGAGGGCACTGATACTACCTATACAGAAATACACATGCAATAGGTGTTTAGTGCATTGCTACATGGAAATATCTTATGTCCCTTCGATTGAGTCACTCTAATGTGCATCATTTTTATTTGAAGTTATCTACCTTTTAATTGTTTGCGAATCCTTGTCTTCAACTCTGGTGTCAGTGGGTAATTAATACCGATTGTTTTTGGATTGCTTTACTGCTTTTATTTGGGTGTTTGAGGCGCATCTTTCAGCATACTATACTTCGACTTTTATTTGATTGATCACATAAAACTTACTTAGCATTTAGCTTGGCATCGGAAGTTTGTGCCAAATTTATTGTCGAGTCGCTTCAAGGATTGGATCTTAGTTCATGTAGACGAGTAATTTCAAATTGAAATTTGCACCGATGTATAGTAGTCAAATGGAAATTGCATCCATTTAAGTTCTTTTTTTAATTATTATTAAACCCATGTAGTCATGCTACTTAAAATTCAGTCTATTTTTTCAACTAAATACTAATATTATAACATGAACCAGTTGCTCTTTATAACAACTAGTTAATAAACTCTAAAATGAACCTCAAGTACATTTCATTCAAGGTAATAATGTGACTAGATCACTGTTCCCCTGATCTGACATCTCAAACTCTCTCAATATGAAGGCTCATTTATATTTCCACCGCAACATGTTACTAAATGATCCATAATTCCATCTTCTGTTAATTTATTTTTTACTTCAACTTGTTATCTCCTTATGCAGGGTAACATACTCAACTCTTAGTAAATGGAAACTCCTACATTGAGCACAAGTGAAAGCACACATATAGTTAATGTAAAGAGAATACAAATACCATTTTGTAACATCAAATCTATTAGAAAATCACTTTTCTTCAGGGTTTTATAGGTATTACTGACATGCCATCTCTATATCTCTCAACAGAACTCATAAAATGTGTGGAAAAGTTCATGTGATTGTGTGGCGTGAACAAATTTTACGATGAACCTCTAGTGCATCCTAAGGTTATACATTGTAATAGATTAAATGTGGTAACTCTTTGCTTGAAATGAGTAGGTCAACCTAATTTCCTTCAATTTCTGTTTGACCAACCCCAGAATACGAGTCATCTTTTTATCGTAACAACTCACTGACTTTGATGGTTATTAGGTTAAAAAGCTTTTACATGACACAAAATGGGAACATTTGTTGGTTCTAATGCAAATTTTTGCTTAGTTATCTATAATCTGCTAGACCCTAGCATAAAGGTGAGGTTGAGGCTTTTACTTAAAATGTGTATATCTTGTCAAATAATAGGACTTTTCAGTCACCTTCAAGAGTGTCTGACAGTTAATCTTTTTAATTCTCTCATTATTTTCGAGTTGATATTGCTAAGGATTCTTACCTAGATTGATAAACCAGTTAGATAAATACCCAATATCTTCGCATGAATATTAAGAATATGGAAAATAAAAACTCTTCAACAATAGTTGACCATTATTATTATGCTTTGCGGAAAAAGCAAGTCATTTCGGTGAACAACCTTCATTACTTATTTAACCATAAATAGATTTTACCGATCTTTTCTAGAACCTTGGGCAAAGTTGCATTAAATCCGTAAAGCAGGTGAAATTTCTTGCAAGATGAAAATGAATACTAGTGAGGGCATTAGGGACTGTTTAATCTTGTCTTAATCTATGTTTAAGATCAACATTCTCATAACATTCAACAAGGTTAGGGCTACAAACGAGCTGGCTAAATCTGATTCATGCTCAGCTTTGACTTTACGCACGCATCTTAGTTTCATACTATGGTTACTCTGTTATCTATGCATTTATATATTAACAATCAGGTTCAAGATCAGTTTAATTTTGCATTCAGCTAAAGTTTATCATCACAGGGAACATACTTTCTTTTTCTGAGAGGAGAGAAGAACACTGCTAAGGATGCAACAAGTTCGATAGTCAATCTTTATTGAATATTTCCTTATTCCAGTCACATCCAAATGTTTATGTCATGGCTAGGATATTCCCATCTTTTAGTGTTTGGAATGTTGAGTAATAGATAGTCTCTATCATATAAATGTAGCAAACAAGTCCAGAAAGAACAGCGTCAGCGATGAAGTTAGGAGGCAGAAATTTTGGTGAAAGGATACATGTTGAAGACAAGATGCGAAGATTTCTTTAATAATGGATATGTACAAGGAAGATGATGAAGTTAAAGCTGTTGAAAATAGGCAGAAGCAGATCCAGGGGGTGAAGAATATTTTAGTGTTACCAGGGTACTCCTATAATGAAGCTGTAAGTTAAAGCTGTTGAAAATAGGCAGAAGCAGATCCAGGGGGTGAAGAATATTTTAGTGTTACCAGGGTACTTCTATAATGAAGTTGTACATGTACCGGACATGTACTCGACACTTTCTCATACTCAAAATTCATGGGCACTTCTTGAATATATGCATGCATTTATTACAACATGGACTCAATTATATGATATACATATTAATTAAAAACTCTTGTCAAATACTTCTTGGACGTAAAGCTTACACTTTACATCCATTTCTTGAAACTAGTTTGATATGGGTCAGGTTCATTTCAGTCCATACACACGTTCAAAACTGTATAAATATAGGAGCTTTATGAAATCTCAGTTCGTACCGGTACCCGCACCCGTACCAGTACTTGTACCCGTTTCTATGCAACTTAGATCTAAAACAGCACAATTATATATTGGAGAAAGATTCAAAAAAAATTCAATGACATCTGATGTAGTCTTTAGATGGAAAGACCATAGCGAGGTTAACCTATGCGGGCAAGTATGCATCCTGAGATTTCATAAAGCTCCTATATCTATATTTGTCGAAGTTTCACTTAATGACCTGTGTATATCATGCATAACATGCCCTTCTGAATTAAGATCTCTTATTAGTACAGTGTACTTTTATTGTGGTTATCTCAACTTGAAATTTCATAAAACTCCTATATTTATAATATATACTTAATGACCCATGTAAATAGTAAACATGTTCTTTAATTGTAGTGTCACCCTATAAAATTGTTTTCATTTCTTAATTTGTGTCAACAGGTACGTTGCAGTTGGAAATGAGCCATTCCTGAGTTCATTCAACGGCAGTTTCCTCCAAACAACATTCCCTGCCCTCCAAAACATCCAGAGTGCGCTCATCAAAGCAGGCCTTGGCAACCAAGTCAAAGTCACCTGCCCCCTCAACGCTGACGTCTACCAATCTCCCTCTGGCCAACCCTCCGATGGCGATTTTCGCTCTGATATCCGCGACCTCATGCTAACAATCGTAAAATTCCTCAGTGACAATGGCGCCCCCTTCACCGTCAACATCTACCCCTTCATCAGCCTCTACAGTGACGCAAACTTCCCTGTCGATTATGCATTTTTTGACGGCACGTCATCCGCTGTAGTAGACGGCGGAGCTACGTACAACAACATGTTCGATGCGAATCATGATACTCTCATTTGGGCTTTGAAGAAGAACGGGTTTGAAAATTTACCCATAATCATCGGTGAAATTGGATGGCCAACGGATGGCGACGTGAACGCAAATTTACAGTCTGCACAGAAATTTAATCAGGGTTTTATGAAGCATATTTCAACAGGTCAGGGGACGCCGATGAGGGCAGGACCGATTAATGCGTATTTGTTCAGTTTAATCGACGAGGATCAGAAAAGCATACAGCCTGGTAATTTTGAGAGGCACTGGGGTTTGTTTTATTACGATGGTCAACCAAAGTATCAGTTGAGTCTTGGAAGAAACTCGGGGATTGTTGGGGCCCAAGGGGTTCAGTATCTTGATAAGAAGTGGTGTGTGATGAAGAATTCGGTAAGTCTTGATGACTCGAAGGTTGCACCGAGCGTGAGCTACGCTTGTGCGAATGCTGACTGTACTAGTCTCGGCTATAAAACCTCATGCGGGGGCCTTGATGCCAGAGGAAATATATCGTACGCATTCAATAGTTATTATCAGATGAATGATCAAGACGACCAGGCTTGTGGGTTTAATAATCTAGCGACGATCACCAACAAGGATCCATCAATGGGCAGCTGTAGGTTCCAGATAGGGATCTTGGTTGAAGATTCTGCAGTCTCGTTGAGAGTCTCATTCTTGCTGGTTGTCACTGTGGTTTCGTTCTTGTTGATTTTGATGTAACTTAATCGTGCATTTTGGATTATGGTTTGAAACACGACAATAATTTGATCATGAAATTCTTTTCAACCTGAAACAAGTGCATAAATGTAACGATACAGGTGTAGATCATTTACTGTGAAGGGGGTTCTATTGATAAATCTCCCATGTTGGCGATCAGTTCGTCAACCTCCAGTATCTTGTCATCTTGAAATTTGCTCTCTCTGAGAGCTTTCTTCAACTGCTTGATCAGCTCGTTCTCCTCGTCCTCCTGTGTCGTCTCAATCTCCCACACTTTGAAAATATTGTCCTGCGACTCGAAATCTCCAGTATTGTGCATTGCTTCACCTTGAGCAAACTCGCTAGTTCGCTTTCGCTCTTCAGTTGCTTCTTCATCTTCAGCAAGTTCCCTAGCTTGTATGTTTTCTTCTGCAATTTCATTAATGGAGGCTTTGGGTTCTTCTTCATCATCAAAGACTACTCGAGGAGAGAGAGCCTCGAGAAGTGCCTCTCGCAGGTCGTCCCAGTTATCTTGGGACAGCTGTGGATCGGACACTAAGCAGGAATCAGCCCATGCAGCGTCCTCTGGCGAGAGCTCGGATTTCTTGGAGTTTGATTCTATTGATGCTTTGAGAATGACAGAGATCGCATCTCCTTCATCGGCCTCGACTGTTGAATTAAGAAGGGCAGATATTTCATCTCCTTCATCAGCCTGCATGTTTTCTGGAGAGCCTGCGTACAATCATGTCATGCACGGTTATAAAAAGGGTAGTAGGCACATCACCAATGTTACATGAGTTATGTACTTATTTCCTAAGGCACTTAACAGTTCTGGACAGGGAAATGTGGAACAAGCCTGGCCAGGTTTAAGCTAAAAATTCGGTCTAACAAAATAGTTTAAATCCTGGTCCAATTCTTTGCAAAACTGAGATCAATGTTTTACAGGGTTTTATCCAACTAAATCAATTTAATTCAAGTTACCAAACAGACCTGTCAATTTTTTTTGTTCGTAGTTTGATGTTAGCTATCCTCTACCATACTCACGAGTCACTAGCTTGCAGAGATATTTCCTGATATTTCACTGTAATATTTCACCGTACTGCAGAGAGACTCCTCCTCTTACAGATGTAAATAATAAAAATACACCCTCTATAGCATACGTACAGACAACAAAAAAACTAAATACATAATGCGGCCTCGAATATCAGATGTCTAGATGCTAATAGATAAAGTTAGGGCATCTCCAACAGCTTCTTCAAAATTTTCTCCAAAATGGGGAAGCAAAAGTCATATTCTCCAACTAATTTTTACACTAACTCCAACAGCTTCCCCATTTTGAAGAATCACTTTTTTCCCCCAAAAATTTGGAGAATGCTGCAGATTTGGGAAAGCTTCCCCATTTTTTCTCCTTCATCTCTATTTTGAGGAATGAGATGGGGAATCTGTTGGACCAAAAACCCAACTAAATTCTCCAAAATTGGGAAATGAGGAAGTTGTTAGAGATGCTCTTATTAACCCATGAGTGAGTAGCCACCTACATTTGTGGCTAAATTACCAAATCGGTAATTGTAATAGGTCCATGTTTACCATATGATTTATATATTGAAGAAATTTTCTAAATAAACACATTTATATTTTTTTTTCTAAAAATAGACCCTATTGAGTTTTATTTAAAAAAATAGACTCATTTTATCTTAATCTGGTTCCTAAATAGTCGGGATTGTCAATCCCGACTATTTAGGAGGGTATAACCCCCCCAATTATAACCCTAAACCCTAACATTCTATATACTAAACTCGTCGGAGTTCGCAACCCGACTATTTAGAAACCGGATTAAGACAAAATAGGTCGATTTTTGTAAAAAAAAAAAAACTCAATGGGTTTATTTTTAGAAACAAAAATATGAATGGGTTTATTTAGAAAATTTCTTCAATATATAAAAACATATTGTAAACAGGGTCTCCACTGAAAATGCCAATTTGGTATTTCAGCCCATACACATTAAAAAGGATCGCCCTCAGCGCAGCATAACAACAAACAGGTGGTGGGCGCTTTCATGGTAAAGAGAACGCCGACATCGTATGCAGAAAAGATGAGCAGAATTCAAGCGGAGAGAAAGAAATCAGCACCTGGGCTTTCTGTCATTGGGGAGAAGAACATACCTCAGCCTTGATCTTCTAGCCTTTATTTGGAGGGAGGGTGGATAAAAAATAAAAAAAAAACCATGAGATTATGGATGAAAATGTTAAGAAAAATAGCTGCTAAAATTTGAAGAGGTTAAGAACGAGGAGCTTACCTCCTTCGTTTTTATTTGATCTCAGAACTGCAATGGGTCTCTCCCTCCGTCGTCAGTACATGATCACGACACGTGAGATGGTAGTCGGTCGATAAAATTTTTGATTTAAAAAAAAAGGTTAGTTTCATATATACCCCTTAAATTATAGGTATTTGCAAAAGAGTTCTTTCAAATCTTACTATTCTCAAAGCTACGTCTCAAAATCATCAACTTTGTGAAAAGGTGCTCCTGATGTCAACATATCACCAACTTACCACTAAAATTTTAACTATTTTGTTGATAAGTTTTACATTGCGACTATAACTTAGCTTATTAAAATTGATGATTAACTGCTTTGAGGGTAATTTTTTAAAAGTAAAGATTTGAAGGGTAGTTTTGTAAATATGTGAGATTTAGAGAAATTTTTTGCAAATACCCATCCGTTAGGGGGCATATATGCAAATGAACTGAGTAAACCTCACAGTACCGCCAATCTTTTGGCCAATTCGGAATTGACGCCCCCGGACTTTGAAAATGCCACTTAACACCCTGACCTCGCAATATTCTCAACATCCCCCCCTTACATTTCTCCTGTCTAGTATGAACCCATAATCTCTGATACTAATTTCTTCATGCTCAAACTTTTTGTTTTTTTGTTATTTGAAAATTGAAAAGTTTATTTTTAGATTGATGAATTCCTTATTAATTCTTATAAAAATTTTGACAGATGTTATATAATCTATATTTCAATAAAACCATTAATCTTTATTCTTTTCGGTTGACAGATGATATATATATTCCAATTTAGGTTTACTATCCCTTTTCAGCATCTAAAGATAGTCTGAGTTGATACTCGTAAACAAAAGCAATAATAATTGATTAAAAATATCCGGTTAAGAAATAAAAACTTAAAAAATATTATAGCTTAAAATTATCATTACCATATAAAATATAAAATCATACTAATAAGTTGGAGCATCAAAACATTAGTAACATTAATTGATATGTTTAAATCTATAAAAATAATAAAATACTATAATATAATAGCATTAATTAAATATAATTTAAAAACATTAATATATGATGTTAATAATATTTATAGTGTAAAAGAATACAATAAATTACGTATGGAGAACTATCAGAATGTTCAAAGATGTCATTCAATAGAATCAAGCTATTTCCACTGCAAATGAAAAAGTAACGGATATAAATCTAAAATTTAGAAAACGTCCATAAATCATTTGAATTAGCATTAAAATAAGGCATATCTATTAAAGAAGCACCAACTGAGTTACATTGAATAATAATTTAACAACTTTATCCTAAGGGGCTGTTTGGTTCGCTTTAAAACCCTATGGGAAACTTTTACTTAACCTCCACGTCGGTTTTTTCTCCTCCACATCAGATTTTTGGTTTCCGTAGTTTTTTTTTCTCAGCTTTGTTTCGCTATGGCTGAAGAGGGAAACGAACTCATAAATTGCCTCCACGTCTGCTTTTTTCTCTTTCCCAATTCCTTCCCCAACCGAGTGAAATCAACGAAAACCCTGGCCACGTCGGATTTCTTCTTCCTTGTTGATTTCTTCAGTGAGCTAGAGTTACCTCCTTCGCACCGCTCCCACCAGAAACTCCTAGCTTTGTCCCTGTGTTCGAAGAAATTGGCGGAGGGGGGTCTGATCTTTGCCAACTTTGTTCAGATCTGAAATCCTGATGGCAGCAGACTTCGTCGGTGATGGCGGCGTTCCCTCCGCCGACCCCAACGGCCCCGGTCATGTGTTGCACTCTGTTTGACACCGTCTTCCACGGCTTCTCGGCCTCCCTGCCCCCCTCCAGAGCGACGTGGCTCTCATGAAACCCCTCCATACTCACCGTCTCCCACAGTTCGAGCAGGATCGAGGGGTCCTAGAAGTCGAGAGGTGGAGCTTTTCCTCTGGTTGTGTTCAGGTTTGATCTGATCTGCTCCTTTGTTCTTCTTTCTTTTTTTTGGGGGGGTGGGGTGTCAATTTTGTGTTTTTGTTGTTTGATTTGGTTAAAATCGATGGGGTTGGAGCTCAGATTAAGCTAAAATGATGAAATAGCTTGATTTTCATTTTTTAGTAAGAATTTGATGATTAAAGGTAGTTTTTTAAGGGTTAAAATCAGTTTAACTACTGAAATTGAAGCTTGAGCTAATGATTATGGAGCAATTAGCTCATTTTTTTAAATTATTGCTGTTGTTTTTATGAAAATGGGTTACCCTAATTAGATTTTTGACGAGAAATGGGGACATATAATTTTTTCTCGCTCAATGAAATTAAACATTCAAAAACTAAAAGCTTTGTAATTTTATATGCAAACTTCTACAATAATTCTCCATTTCAGGAGACTATGATAGTTGCCCTCTTGCCCAGTTTATATCAAGTCTTATTGATCTTTCTTTCTATTGAAATTCAACCTCATATGCCATTATTTTAGAAAGTGATAATTGATGTAAGAAATCAGGCTCATGGCTTGTTTACTTTGTATATGTTCATTATATCATTTGAATGTGTATTGATGCATTGTGTTTGTGAGAGTGTTTATGTTAGAGTGTTTCATTTGTTAATATTCGTTTGAAGTAGAGATGTGAGGGGATGATAACTTTTGTGCAACTGGTAGAGGAATTTTTGGATTTGAATGGGTATTGATGCATTGTGTTTGTACTGGTCTTTATGTTGGAGTGTTTCATTTGTTAATATTAATCTGGAGTGGAGATGTGAGGGGGTGATAGCTTGTGTCCATTTGTTCGTGTTCATTTGAAGTGGAGATAAAGGAATGATGGCTCCTGTGCACTCAGTGAAGGAATGTAGGATGTGAATTGGTATTGATGCATTGTGTCTGTGTAACACTCTTTATGTCTGATTGTTTCATTTGTTAGTATTTCATTTGAAGTGGATATGAGGGACGATGGCGTGTGTGCATTTGATAAAGGAGTTTTAGGATTTGAATGGGTATTGTTGCATTGTGTTTGTATCACTCTTTGTGTTAGTATTTCATCTGGTCTTCCTGATAGAGAGAGGTATAAAAGTTTCCTCATTTTTTTTCTACTCAAGCGATTAATTTCTTCATCTGGGCTTAAAACTTTATGTGATTTTGATATGGGTTTTAGATTTTAGTTTCATAGATAGCTTGGATTGTGAATCTGTGATGTCAGCACCCTTTTGTTTTGGGGTTATTTGTTTGTAGATATGTGGCTGATTTAATGAATGAGAGGCAGAAGCTAGCTCCATTTATTCAAATTCTCCCATTATGTGCTAGGCTTCTCAATCAAGGTATGAGAGGGTTTGATAAATATTTCATTATTTGAATATACTGCTGTTAGAAAAGAAATAAGATTCAATTATAGTGATCATAGAGAGATTTTTGTGGAATTAGCTTTGGGCATGATTATTATGTGACTTTGGGTTTGTTTGTAATGCATTAATAGCCTTGTAGCAATTTTAAGTAAACCCAATAACTATGTAAATTTTGGTCAAAATCAGAGTAGTAGCATCCAACATTTTTAGTAGACAGAAGAATGAAAAAGAAATAATGTACTGTGTTAATTTCGAGTCCAACAAATGTTTATCAGGCTCTCTGGTTATAGAAACTAAAAATCAGGACCTGCACTTGTTTAGAACTGAAGGCCTTACTGTACTGTGTTAATTATCTTTTTTTCATTCCCTATATTTGCTTTTGCATATAGTCAAGCTTCCCTCCTTTACTTGTCATGCAACATTATCTTTGTTGATTATATATGCAGGAAAATGGTTATTTGCCAAGAATGGGGATGTCTCCAGCACCACATTATCTTTGTTGATTATATATGCAGGAAAATGGTTATTTGCCAAGAATGGGGATGTCTCCAGCACCATCTGTTGGTTGGAATGGGACTCCTGGAGTTTCTATGAGCCATGTTATTAAGAAAGTTGTCAGACTCGATGTTCCTGTTGACAAGTTCCCTAATGTATGCAAATCTACTTTAGTAAGTAGTTTATAAATATTTCATCTGTGATTACTAATTTACAAGTTTGAATCAGTATAACTTTGTTGGCCGTCTTTTGGGACCAAGAGGAAACTCCTTGAAAAGAGTGGAAGCTACGACTCGCTGCAGAGTTTATATACGAGGTCGGGGTTCAAGAGGAAACTCCTTGAAAAGAGTGGAAGCTACGACTCGCTGCAGAGTTTATATACGAGGTCGGGGTTCGGTCAATGTAATGACCGTAAAATTTTGATACTAGTTAAAATAAATTTTTGGTATTTTAAAATATTTAATTATGATTTTTAAAAGAGTATTTGTATTTTCCTCTGTTTTCTAGAATTTTCTATGATTTAAAGTCTAAGTTTTATATTTATTTAAATGGTTTTTATATTTATAAATTAATTTAATGTAATGAAAATTACTGGGATTTATCCGTTGTGTTACTGATACTATTACGTATTATTTTAAGTAATACATCGTATTATTATTACTATTACATATTAATTCTTGTATTATATTGAATTATTAATTACGTATTATTTGTGTAAATTATTGTATTATTACGTATCAGCTGTCGTATTAGCATAACTGGTACGTTTTATCGTGTAGATAATTGTCACATAATTATTTGATTTTAAATGTAAGTAAATATATTTTTATTATTAATTATTTCCATTTAATTATACAATATGGGTATATTTTTGACAGTTTCATATCAACTGTTGTATTAGCTCAAAATGTACGTTTTTAATTATAAATAATTATTATGTAATTAGTTTAATTTTTAAGTACCCGGAATTATTTATTTTAATTATTTTTGTTTAAATACCTGAAACTATTTGAAAATACTCCAACATTATTTTGCTCCCGCGACAAACCCCAACAACCCCGTTCTCTCCCTCCGCATTTTTTCAAAAATTTCGGCTGCACGCGCACCTCATTCCAATAATTTATTTTGTTTTTTTTTTTTTCCAATTTTTTATCATTCTTTTTTTTCCTTATTTAAACCCAGCAATCTATCTCTCTCTTCCGTAACTCTACTTTCTCCTCTTCTCTTCTTTCTCTCTCTCTTCTCTCTCTCGAGCTCGAGCCTGCTCCGACCGCCTCCCGCGCTGAGCTCTGTCGGACCGCCCGCTTGCTCCTCCACCCTGACCGCCGCTCACCTCCGGACCTCCGCCCCGCAGCCCCCAGCCGCTGCCTCCGCCCACCCGCTCGAAGCCGACGCCCAACTGACCCGCCGCCGCTTCTGCCTGAATCCGCCCACCGAGCTGCCGCCCATTCTGCTCCACCCGCTCGCCAGCCTCTTCCAGAGCCGCCGGGCATCGCCCCGCGAGCCAACCGCCCCTCCTCCAGCACCCCGCCATCTTCCTCCTTCCCACGTCGCCAACGCCCTAAGCCAGCCCCCTGAACTCCACGCAGCTCGCCGTCGACCACTCTCCAGGGCCCGGCCAGCCAACGCCCCACAGCCCGTCGTTTCAAACCCTCGTCGCGCCGCCGAGCTTCGCCGCTCGGTCCTCTACTCTGGCTACGCAATCCCGCCAGCATCTCTCTCTCCGACCCACTCTCCTCACCTCCGTTCTCCCTTTTTTTGCCCGCGCTGTACCCCTCGCCTACCCCCATCTCAGTAATCCCTGCCGCGGCATACCCCCAGCACCACCCCCTTGTCCCCTCCTCCTGTCTGCACGACGTCGGAGACCGCCGCTGCTCGCTGTCCCGACAGTCCTCATCTCCGCTCCCCGTCGAGACCCGAGCTCGTCCGTGCCGTCGTCTCTTCCCTGACGCCCGACCCAGTCGTCTGTTCCGAGACGCCCGACCCTTGCCCGTCGCCGGACAGCCCTTCGTCGGAGGTTCAGACGACGCCTCTTCCAAACTCGCCTGTCAGCAATTCGACGTCCGCTCGTCGTCAGGCCCTCGGCCTCGTAGGCAAGATCCCGATACTCCCTTGACTTGATATTTAATTCTTAGATCCGCTCTGAATTAATTAGTTGCTTGCAAGATCCCCATTCTTGCTCAGTACAATTTCAAATTTATCATAAAACAATTATGCATAATATCTCGTCCCTCGAACAACTATCCGTTACAATTATAGAACTGTCATAAACCTATTGGACTGTGGACAATAACGTATGCCCATTCACATTGTAATACATATATTGTGATGACTTGTACGGACTTATTTGACGAATGATATTAAAATAATATTGTGATAATAGATACTGTAAATATAAAATAAAATAAAATTATTTTAGAATAATTATAAATAATTTAAAAGAATTAATTTTAGAATAAGTATCAATTTAGAATAATTTTAGTAATTTAAGAAAGTTTTATAAAAGGAATTATTTTAGGATATTTATAAATATTTTAAAAGGATTTATTTTAGAGAAATGATTATTATGAAATATTCATGATTTATGTTTCTTAATTTTAATTATGTGATATGCTATGATCTTGTTGTATATGATTAGCTACAATTATTACTCTTTGTTATGCATGAGAACCGTTAGAAATTCATGACTAGTATGGCCTGGTATGTTCTGTTTAAGACTTAGAAACCTGTGTATACGTTAGCTTAGAAAAACAAGAGAGTTGGGATGGGGAAGTTAATGTTCATGTGATCGGATAAGATTGTTGATGTATCTTCCAGACTAGAACCGGTGAACCGTTTCGCACTGGGGTTAGTTTGTTGGGCCAAGTGAACCGTTTCGCACTTGGTCAGTGAAATCGTTTCGTCACCTGAGTTTTGCTTGAGTTCGAACCAGGCCGAAATCGGATTTCGTGTAGTCCTCTCACCGAACCGTTTCGCGGGATTGGATGCACGTAGAGGATTTGTGAACAGTCAGTTATCCGGTGATATGAGCGTTGGCTCTGTGTGAGATGTGACCAGTGACCTGTTATATAATGGCTAGTAGTATGACCTCGTTACCCGATTGGTTTTGGATTCTTCTGATTATTATATTCTAGTGGTGGATTTCATTTAGATTATTACTATTGTTATTATTATTGTTATGATCGACTTGTTACTTGGTTGATTCCCTTGGATTTATTATGATTATTCTATTCTAGAAGTAAATTATATTCAGAATATTAGTATTTCAGTTGTATGTTTCCATTGTTATCACCATTATCGCATTGGTCGCACGACCGTTCTATTCTTCCTTTTGGGATCTTGCCGTGCGCCATGCACCTGACGTACACCTGTTTTCTCTGGTGTACGTCAGACTTAGGAGAAGAACAGGTTCAGCGGGAGTCAGAGGATTCTCAGCATGAGTGCCTTGCAGACGTAGCAGAAGAAGAAGCAGAAGCTTAGTCATTTCCTTTCAGTTTGTTTTGTATTACTTCATTTCCTTTCGTTCGGTATATATTTATATTCTCCAGTATTTCATTCAGATAGTTTTGTATAAGGGCGTGTTGACCCGAATATTATGTCTGGGATGAATATTCATTAAGATATGTATTATTTTATTCTGTGTTGTTCATTATATTCTTGCTAATTGTGATCGGGGACCTGTGCCTTCGTTTGTATTTCTTGACGCTTAGCGTATTAGATTGAGAAGACGGGGTCTAGCACTTATCTCTTCTCAGTTTAATACGTCGCGGGCTTGCTCGCGTCCCGATTCCCTGGTATTTTGGGAAGCGGGGCGTGACAGTCAAGGATTCTGCTAAGGTACTAATTTTATGTCGCTTACTTAGTTACTCGTAATTTTATGTCGCTTACTTAGTTACTTGAAGATTTGGTTTATCTTGTATTAGTGTATACTGGATGATTTATCCTTTTACTATGCAAATTAACTAGATTCTAGTCTACTCTTAATGATTAAAATGTAGTTAATGTTGAATCATGTTGATAGTCTGGCTAGATTCTGCTCAACGTCCTGTAGAAATTTGTGCTCCATAACCAAACCTCGAATTTGACTCGAAAAAAGCATGAGATTATCCTTATGAAATGCTCGTATTCTTAATGTTTTCTATCCAGGTGCATCACCCAAGACCAGATTTTTACAAGAAACAGCGGCTGAGGGAATTGGCAATTCTGAACGGTACTCTAAGAGGAGAGCCCTCATAGGAGTCCTAGTGCATCTCCATTCAACAGCACAGGGAAGAAACGTGCGAAAACTGGGTTATAAGACTTTTTCACTGCTTCAAACCTTTGCCTTGTGAATACGTACTCACTCTCGCTCTAGAATGGAGATTTGTCGATTGAAGAACAACAGGACCTCCAGCTTTGGTTGGTTGGTGTTATTGGTTGGTGTTGTTGGTTTGCTGGTGGGTGTTTCCTGGTGTTTTTGAAACCTGGTTGTGTTCAGGTTCTGTTTTGGTTCATGTTTGGTTCATTGTTGGTGGCTGATGGGTGTTTCATGGTTCATTTTCCTGCATTGGTTTAGGGGATTTTTGTTACCAAACCCTCTATGCATACCCCCAAATGCTATTTCAGTTTTGTGTAGGCCTGGTTCTTGAATGTTGGTATTTTTTTTGCTTTCAGGCCAAGATATTGACGCTCATGTATTCAGGCAGATTTGTGAACATATTTTCAGTTTTGTGTTCAGGGTTTTGGTTGCTTTTGTGCTCGTCGTCGAGCTCCCATGAATGTTTTTTTATTACTATGCTGATTCGAGCTTGTTTAGCTCTATATTGTTGGGTTTTTGGTTGCTTTGTGCTCGTTGTCGAGCTCCCGTGGCTGTTTTTTGTTACTATACTGATTCGAGCTTGTTTAGCTCTATGTTGTTGGTTTGTGGTTGCTATTTGTGCTCGTCGTCGAGCTCCCGTGGCTGTTTTCAGGTACACAGTTCATAGCAATTGATTCATGTTATTTCAAGTTTCATATGATTTCATTAATACAAATAGAAACTTATAATGAATTCGGGATATTATTATTTGTTCACGTTACATTCACACTTTTATATGATTAAGATTACCTCCCATAACAAGCATAAATAAATTTGTCTATAGTGGGGGGTAATCTTACCATGGTGATCATAAACAATTTTTCCTACAAACTTAAAAACCAATCAAACACAAGAAAAGTGGGAAATATCAAATCAACAAAAATTTTTCCTTTTTTTCCATGCGAACCAAACACAAAAAAAGTAAATACATTGGTTTCTTACCCTTTTTTATGTGCGAACCAAACCGAAACAATCTATTTCTCGGAAAAGTTTGGAAAACTCAAAACTTACATTTCTTTACATGGAATTACATTTCCCTATATCTAGGAAACGAACCAAACAACCCCTAATCAAAGAAGAATCTCCATGGAAGATGTAAGAAAAATTAGTAATCATTCATAAATTTCATACTTTATTCTTCAAATACTAACGAAAGTAAATATTAATATTATAATCTAAGGCAAACTGACAATAAAAAATACAGGTATTTACTTTAGATATTTATGAAAAACAAAAGGGATAGAGCAAATGTAATATTATTGACGTAACAAAAGCTCTTATTGAATGCACATCAGAAGAATTCATTGTAGAAAAGAATGATAGCTCCTAATCTTATTTAAGTAATAAATTAGGAACACAAAAAATTTCATATATATGAAATTAATATTTATTTCTCATTGAAATAAAAAAATCAAAGTCTGTATTTCAAGAAGTTTGTGTTGAATATCGAAATACATTTAACTTCTTTGTGAAGTTAAACAACAAGATAAAAGATTAACGAGCCCAAGAACGATGACAACACAAAAAACATAATTCTAGCCTGATGTCATAATCGAGTAGATGATGAAGTACTACTATAGAATTGTCCGAGAAAAAGATAAAAGTGAGGAAGGATTGATATTAGCTCAGTAAAAAAATAAAACAGAAAACATAAAATGTAATATTTTGTGAATATTTTATAAAATAGTTTAATTATTAAAGAATTATATACATCTGAATGTATGAAGTCAAGAGTACGCAAGAGCTTTAGCACTATTCTAGAAAAATAGTTTGGTCATATGTCTCTTTGAGTGAAGTTAGAAAGCTTTAGAATGGAGTTTCATGAGCTTTTTTTAGTACTTTTTATATGCTTGTGCAAATACTTTTATTATATGAAAGTATACTAGAGTTAGCATTAATCTGTCATTTATAATTTTTTATGAAACCTATTAATGATTACAAACAAACTTTATATATATTCTCCTTTGTATCATTTTAGCATACTTTTAAGCAATTATTTTGCCTTATTGGTTTTAAATATTTACCTTCCTTGTATAACACTGTTTCAATATATTTTCACTTTTGCAACACTATACTTTCTTAAGTAAAGCTTGGTTTCATGTCAGTCAAAATAATATAAAAATTTAAATTAGCTCAAACTATATTTGTTTTCTATCAATTCAAATATTAACATGAAAATTTAAATTGGGTGTAGCCTATTTAAACAAACATCAAAGAAAATAACTAATTGCAATATTAAAGTTTAGAGATAAAAATGAGCATAAACTATTAAAGTTTAACCGAGAAACAAATTTTAGTTAGAAAATAAACCAAAAATACTTAATCATGATATTTAACCACGTGCATTTCACGCGTATAAAACCTAGTAAGCAGAAACGACCTAGTCTATTCCTTTATACAAATGAGAGAACCCAAGATACCGTAGCATTTTAAAAAAGTACTGTAGTATACAGGAGCAAGGTGTTTTTTAAAAAACACTTTAGCAGAGCGGGATACTGTAGCAATCCAAAAAACTCTGCAGCAGAGCGGATACTGTAGCAATTAAAAAAAAACCAAAAAACATTATAGCATTTAAAACCGGGATTACTGTAGCAGGGGAAAAAAAAGATATGTCGTGCTTTGTACGGTGTTCACACTAGTAAAAAAGGAATACCAAATTGACCTGACCTCTCTGTAGTCAAATGATGTGTACATGTAAATTACCTTCTTTCTTTTTATTTGGAATTTTTGTTGAAAAGAATATGACTAAAACCAGTTTTCATCTCACGAGGGACTAAAACGAAAAAAACCCCGTCCCTCGCTCTCCAAAATCCCTAAACCCCTCTGCGATCGCAGAGAAGATCGGGGTCCCCAAAAATCGGAGAAATGGATGCCGTCGCTAAATCCTCTCGTCCGAATCCGATCTCTCGATTCATCTCCACTCCTCTATGGATCGGACTCTTAATTCTACTAGTAATCACCTCAGACCCTAACCTCGATAGTTCGATTTCCTTTCTCTAGATCCCCGTTGATTTCACTCAATCGATGAAAATTTACAGTTATTACCGGCGGATTCAAACGCTAAACCGTTGCGGACGTCTTCGCTGTTTTCGCTGTTTAATTTAAAATCCAAGAGTAGATTTTGGAGCGAGTCTGTGATTCGCAGTGGTGAGTTTTTTTAAAAGAAAATTTATTTTGGAGAAATTTATAATTTTTTTGGTGATCGACAATGGGTAGGTTCTGAATCATGTGTTGGAATTTTGTAGATTTCGATGATTTGGAAAGTGAAGTATCTTCGGACCATGGGAAAATGGAGGTTGTAAACTATACGAAATCAGGTGATTCATTGTTCAAGCCCATTTCTTTTGTCTTAACACTTTTGTTAGGTGTTGTTATTTTTCTATCAACGAGACTGTATAGCTTTGTGTACTGTTAGTTTTTGTTTTGGTCACTCTAGTTTTATCGTGAGGATATTTGACAATTGGATTCCGCAGTTACATTTCACTGATAAATCTCAAGTTCGATTCTTTATCACCTTCATGACGTGATATGCAGTATTTACCTTGCACTATTCCCACAACAATTTCCAACTTCATTTACTGATGCCTTGTACTTTGTGATATAAGAATGGTTTTATTGAGCTGATTCCATGTACGTATTAGCACTTTTAAGAGCTACGGACGATGCATATAGGAGCGCAATGATGCTATGTATTTCTTTTCGACCTGACTCATATTCTTGTTCAGGTAACATTGCAAACTTTTTAAAGCTTTCAGAGGTCGATTCCATATATCTTCCTGTCCCAGTGAACTTCATCTTCATAGGATTTGAAGGAAAAGGGAATCACGGTAGGTGCCTTTTTTCTTTGTGTACGTGTTTATATGCAGATATTAGTTCATTCACATGGTTTAGTAATTATTTTGCAGAGTTCAAGCTTGGTGGAGAAGAGATAGAGCGGTGGTTTACCAAAATCGATCACATTTTCCAACATACACGGGTTCCTCCTATTGGGGAGGTCCTTACCCCATTTTATAAGATCAATGTTGAAAAAGTCCAACATAATCATCTTCCTTCTATCAGTCATATAAACTACAAGTGATTTCTTTTTCTTCGTAGACTGTTATTATTTCAAACATCAGTCTTTTTGAGTTAAATTATTGGTTCAACTTTTTACTGAAAATTTTAGAAGTAGCTAATTTGATGACCTGCTTTACTATTGCTGCAGTTTTTCCGCGCATGCTATACAAATGGGAGAAAAAGTTACTTCTGTTATTGAGCATGCCATAAGAGCCCTATCCCGGCAAGAGAACATATCAGATTCTAGGTAATGTTTGTGCGTAATTTCATCTTTTTGTCACAGATTGTTTGTACATATGAAATTGTTTGTCTAGGATGAATCAAGTTGGAATATGTTGTGCACTAAATGACTACTTGATGTCATTTTGACAAAAGATGTGATTAATGGTAGTCTAGAGCTTTGAACCAACCTTTTGGAATACATTTTCGGCGATGTTTGATTCGTGCAGACGTCCAGGGGGTTTATGATCTGTCAACAATACACATACTTTTGGTACTGATGCTGATTTATCATGTGACTTTTAAACTTCCTACTTCGTAACCAAATAGCTGTGAGAAGATAAACTCTCGAGTTTTATGTGGTCTCAAGACGCTCAACTGATGAACTGCAGAAGAAGTGATAATTGAAACTTCTATATCGCACCAATTTTCCCTTATTCTCATCATTGCATTTTAACTTCATGCCTACAGGGACAATGAAGATGTCTTGTGGCAAGTTGATGTTGACAGGATGGAATATATATTCTCAACTCTTGTTGATTATCTTCAGATTGATAATGCATACAACATATTTATTCTCAACCCCAAACACAATGCTACACGAATTCGTTATGGTTACCGGTAAGTTTCTTCACAATTTTTTGATTTTCACAAAACTCATGCTCTGATGCATAGTGCTATTTGTGTTTATTTGCTACTCATTCTACTAACTAAGCTTTACCAGCATCATGAAAGGTTATGGGACATAAAATATCATGTTTCCAAGCTTAAATATGTAGGCCCTACCCCTTTTTTCACTTCAGTACGTATATGGTGCACAGTATTCGTAGCAATACCCATACTGTCCTTTAAATTTGTTCAATCGATGTTAATGTTTTAGCACGTCATCAATTTGGAGGGAGTAAGCTCATCAATTTGTAGAGAGTAAGTTGTGTATGTGTTTTTGACTGTTCAGTTTCAACACCTATGTATGCATCAGTGTTTGAAAGAGAGATAATAATGAAGGTTTGTTTGGGAAAGAGAGCCAGGTCAACACCAATAACTAGGATGTGTTGATGCTTCTAATGATGACACAGCGACCTGGAGTATGTTAGAAGGAAACACTGCCCTGGGCGATGAAATGCCGTCTAGACAGTTTGAAACCCACATAAAAAAGTGGACAGTTTAAGAGACTTAAGAGAATTTCCTCCAAAATATCTTTGCTTTACACTAAATTCAGTTAGAGCTATACTCTAATGCTCTATCTCCACATTCAAATCTAGGATAAAGGTTGTAACCACCATGAGGTCCCTCTTGACATCCAACCCAACATCCAAGAAGTGCAACATTAGTTCATGTGTCTTTACGACATAAGTCCTAGCCTTAGTTAAGCTGTACAATGGTGATGATCTCTCACCAGAAGAAGTTTCTCTGCCTTCCTCACATCTTTAACAAGGTTCTTGTGCTCTCTTCCGCTTTTAATGTCTCCGTGGAGGTTGAAGAGGGACCTGTTGGGTTTAAGTTCATCACTGCCTTCCAGTAACAACCTTGGCGCAGGTGTTTTGTGGGGTTAAAGGTGGTGACTAGAGATGGAGAGTGGTGGTAATTTGGGGGGGGGGGGGTAGCCAGTGGGAGGGAGTCGTTTACGATAAAGAGTGGTGGGGAAGGGGGCGATAAACGCTGGCAGCATGGATTAAGGTTGGTCAGATCTGATGGGAAGAGAGGGAAGGGTAAAACACTAAAACATGTATTTAGCATTTATCCCTACCCTTATTTTTGACTTTTCAGCATTTGTGAAGTACAAGTGGAGTTTTGCTAACTTTAATCATGTGTACTCAGGTGTTGTCATGCATGGAGGCCCATTAACCCTCTCAGAACCTGACTCGAATAATTAAATTTGGATGGCCATTTTAGACCCGTTAAAGATATTGGGCCAGTTTGGATTAAAAAAATTCATTTGAAAGTTTTATCGAATCTGAATGGTGCATCCACGTGTCTAAGAACCTACTAAACTTTACCTGGTAGCCCAACCTAAAATTTTAATGAGATGCTCATCTCATAAAATTCTATGATATCATTGTACAATAGCATGTAGGCTTAAAGACTGACAACCTAGTTTTAAACAGTTAACACATTTGAATGCTATCTGGAATGGTATTTATTAAATTAGGGGTATTATATCTTTGCTGTTTTGGTATCATCTGGTCCATTTTTAATTTGTTCTTCTAGATCTTTTTTATTTTGAGGATGTAGTTTATTAAATCAAAGTTAGCATTGTTAAATTGTTCTTTTTTTGGACTGCACCTCACGATGAAGTGTCGTAATAAAGTATGCTCTCTTAACCACAAATTTCTTATTAATTATGTAAATAATAGGCGCTTCTTTGTTCTCCGTAGGATTCTAACATTTAGAGATATTAAACATACCTGATAAGTACTAAAAACTTGACTTGAATCGAAATAAGTTGGATTGACCTTGGATACACTTAATGCTTAGTGGTTTTAAGTCATATGAATACTTTTAAAGCTTGTCGGAGCGGTATTGATACAATAAGTACCTGATCCAAACCCATAAATTGCCATCCTGATGTGTTCGATTAAGCCTGACCCAAACCTGGGGGTTCCTGTGTGGGTTTGGTTCACTGTTCGGATCAGAATCATTATGCCTTCTTACTGCTTAGCACAAATAGTCCACAAATGAATATAAGGAGAATGAAAAACATTATTGTCATGCATGAATAGAAGGAGAAGAAAAATGATATAAAACACAAGGCATTGATAATGAATGAGGCTGATTGGTGCAACAGAAGGGGACATAATCTTCTCAGGTTTCATACTCAATGCCTTCAAAAGAATCAAAGTAAATTTTTAGTCTTACATGTCTTATAGTAGACAAGGTGATGAATATGAAAGATAATGCCATTTAGAAGGTTGACACCCTGCATTATTTCCAACAATGTAGACGGGCACCATGTGCATGTCTATTTTGCATAAAACATGTACAGTTGCTCTTTAAAATGTTGGTATCGAGAAGAATTATTGGAATTACACCACAGTAGTAGCACATTTAGAAGGTCGACATCCTGCGTTATGTGCAATAATGTAGACATGGACACCATGTGCATATTATTTTGCATAAGACATGTACAATTGCTCTTTAAAATATTGAGAAGAATTTTGGAATTATACCACAGTAGTAGCTCATGGAATCTCAGAAATGGTTGTGATTTGCTGACATATGTAACTGCTTAACTGGGACAGTTTGTGAATCATTCTTAGCAATGCTATTCTGTTGCCTTCTATACTTCTTTTTATCTGTTTTAGATCTTTTCTGTATCTTTGCAAATACGATGAATTTCTATGTTTATCATTATATCTTTTTTGGAGCTGTTGGACTGTCAACATTGCTAATGCCATAGTGTACCCAAAATAGAATTTTACAATCTGGGTAATTTGATAAATTTCTTTGCTTACTGTAGAAGGGGCCTCTCGGAATCTGAGATCAGTTTTCTCAAAGAGGTATATTACGATATCCTTGGCTTTATGGTGTGTGGTTTGCTTCCAGCATCCTTGTTATATTATTAATTGATGTAAAAACTTGTTTGTATTTCTTATATATATATTTTTTCTTTACCTCATTGTCATAGAATTTAATACATTTCTATTGAAGAGAGCACTTTAGACGGGGCTACTTCTTCTTGTACGCATCTTTGGTTGAGCCGCTAAAACTATCATTTTGTACTTGATTTTATTCTTTATTTTGCTGTCTTGAGTAATTTAGTTAGTCTGACTTTTTAAATGACTAAAAGATTTCATATAGCCTTTTATGCGTACTAATTAAAGATTGAGAGCAAGAAGGTGAAGACAGGGTGAATGGACAAGTGAAGAAAGGGGCTGGGTGGAATATTTAATCCTTCCATTTTAGGCTTTCAAAAAGATAAAGTTAAATCCAATTGACCTTAAAATAGTTTCTTTTTCTCAACCTACCGAATTTCTAATGATCTAGGTTCAATCTTTTTTGATAATTGATGATAAGAAAGGCAAAAATCTTATTCCACACATATTGTGAAGTGGGAATATGCCATGTTAGTCTCCTTTTTTTAGTAAAACAAATAACAATCCCCTTTAAAATCAAGGAAGACCCTAAAGACCACAAGTTATGAGAATTAGGGTGGAGACATTCTTTTTCGTAGTAAAACAACAAATTGTCCTTTAAAATGAAAGAAAGACCCGAAAGGACTAAAAGTTATTGGCATGTCAGGTTAAGACAAATAGGTTTTTTGACCACTCTTGGGCTTATAAAAAATCTCATGGTAATGACAATTACACCATCTTATTGTCATATGGGTGATTTTTACCCTTAGTCTTATCAAGGTTTCAAATGTCGGATGTCGGGTTCATGTCAGACGGAAAAAATTTATGTTGGATAGCAGAAATTGGGGATATGTCAGGGGACATGAAAAAAATATGGGATTGACATATCGTATGGTGTGCATATGTGTAATATGATATCATAAATGAAATCTAAACATACTTAATAAATTCTATTGTCTAAACATATAAAAAATAAATAACTTATGATGTTTATGGTTGATGTTGAAGGAAAGAGGTGAGAAAAGAGAAGCTCGATGTCGGTAGTTAAAGAGAGAGAAGATTGCCCGATATTGATATTGATGTCAAAGAAACAGCTCGAAAAATAGATCAATGAGATGTTGAATGAGAGAGATAAGAGGATCGCTTAATGAGATGTTGATGTCAAAGGAACAGTTCGGAAAATAGACCAATGAGATGTTGAATAAGAAGATCGCCCGATGTTAAAGCAATATTAATTCAATTAGGAATTTATACCCAAACCTGATTTACATAAACATAACCAAAAAATTAGCCAATTTTTCAGACTGAAAATTTGGCTAACATAGCCTATTTGTCTCCCGATATATTTGGCCGACATATCCGACATGTCCCCTGATATATTCGACATGAACCCTAAAAACGCAACACGCATTGAAAAACTCTATATCATGTCGGTTGGCCCCTAAATCCGCCATGTTGGCGGACATGTCCGACATAGCAGCCAACATATGAAACACTGAGCCTTATGATCTGGTGGTGCTCATCTGGATATTCCTTTCTCTGTATCGCCCTAGCATCCATGATCCATCTATTTAGTCCTTTTTCCCTAACCCAAGAGGGTGGAAAATCACTAGAAACATGCACAACTTTTGCTGATCCGCCATACTTGGTGATGAGGTTTAAGTGCGGTAAGGCTCTTGCACAAAGGTTATAATAGTTATTTTGTATTTTAAACATCTTTCTTTGTTGATAGTGAATGCCAATGTCTATTTTGAGTTGAAGGGGATCTTTCTTGTGTTTAAATGAGGACTATAATGCCCAATAAGAGGGACTAATTTTTTTATTTGTTGCAAAGCAGTGAAGTAATCAGACTGTGCTCTTTTTTCTTTCTAAAACTGTGATGCCACTTCTTCTAGACTAATTATTTGTTGTGTTTAGAGTTTAAACCTTGGCTCAATGGCTCATGCAACTAAAGAGCACGAGTTTAAGCTTCATAAGCAATAAGATAGTTCTTACTTTCATCTGTATCCTTTAGATAGTTTCCGGAACCTCTATTTCCATAATTTCTCCATTCTAGGAACTATGGCAATAGAGATTCTTATCATCTAACGTTTATAAAGGTTTGGGTAGCCTTCTAAGTTAAAAAGTCCAATATCGAGTGCAAAACCTGACCTGATTTAGCTGCCTATTGGACATGTGCCACATATGCAGGAGCATAATGTTATCCAACATGCAATAAGGTAGTTCTCACGTTTGTTTACATCTTTCTAGATAATTTCCGGAATCTCTGTTTCCTTAATTTCCATACTAGGAACTATGGCGATAGAGATTCTTAGTTTACAAAGGTTGAGGGAGACAGCTTACTTAAAAAGTCCAATATCGGGTATAGAATCTGACTTGATTTTAGCTGCAAATTGGACATGTGCTACTTATGCAGGAGCGTAATGTTATCCTATATGCAGCTGCATAGACTTCTTTTTGTGGACACTGCTGTTTCAATCCTGCATAACTGCGGTATTCATCAAAAACAGTCAGAGGACATGCAGACCATGGTTCAAATAAATTACAAAATAAATGGCATCTTCAGAAGAAGTTTCATTGATGTCTTCACCTACTTCATGTGATAGACTGAGAATATCATGTTAGAGGCTTCTCCTTGACTGCCTTTTACTTTGAATGCTTCATATACATTTATATTTGATATATTTGATTTTTTTGGTTTTATTTCTGGTAACAATTCTTCATTTTGCAATAGCTTACTGGTGCAAGAATGTTAAGATTAATGGTATTATTTTAAGTTTTTAATCGTAAGTTTCATTTTTACAGGTTTGTTATTATATTTACTTTCATCATTTCTGTTCTTTTTCATGTTCTATTCTTCTTATGCTCTTTCTATCTGATAAAGACTATTATTGATTTTGAGATTAAAGTACAATAGAAATGTATTTATCATAATACAATTGCCTTCTGCAAGAAAAAAAATTGAATGCAGTGATGATGCTTTCTCTGTATTTTCTTACTTGCAATCGTAATTGGTTTTGTCATATTTTTCTTTCATAAATCCCTCGTCTGAAGACTTATACTTATATTTAGTGTTTGTATTTTAGAACAAGACCTTTCAAGCCAAGCTTCTCCAATCTGAAAAAGTGGCAGAGGGTTCTCTCGGTAAGTTGGAGTACATGTTTATGCCACCTCTACCTGTAATTTTTGAAGTTTTCCTAGAAACGCTGCTTTATGTTCACGCATACCTCTGGTTGTAATTAGGTCCAAAACTGAACTGCGATGGAAACCAAGGAAATGAAGTATTGCTTACTTCCGAAATCATTGTAATGAAAATTACATGGGATTGAGCGTGTCTCATATAAAAGCTAATAAAACCAAAGTTGATAATTGATAATAAATTTGCAGATGTTAAGAAAGAATTATGACAGAAGCTGGAATCAGGATTGCATTTCCTCATATTACTTTCATTGTGGACTGAAAACTTAAATATAGCATCTAAGTATCTAACATTTGGTTATATATTGGTTCTCTCACTGACAACACCATCAGTTATCTTGAAGGTGAGGGATTACATGTACGGGTGCTAAACCATATCCGTGTCTGAGGAAATAGTTGTAACTATATCCGTTAGGATACAAATATGGTTAATCAAATTTATAACCAAAAGGATATGGTTACGGATATGGTTTTGTAGTGAAATATCCGGTGAAATATCCGGATCTGTATCTGAAATATCTGAATACATATTGGTCATACTGTTGTAATAGTTTTAATCCTTGGATTATGAATTTGAGGCTAAATTTGATGATCAAAGTGTCAAATCTTAGTTTTTTAGATATAATAAACATATTAATGAGGCTCTTTTGTAGCACATGAAATATATATATTTTTCAACATTATCTAGTTGTTTCATAACCGTTTTTATCTGCATGCATAACCGCTTATATATCTACATGTATATCTGTATTCGTATCCGATTTTAGCGGACATGGATATGATTTTTTCTTACGAAGGTATATTCTTATCCGTGATGAGTAAGCGGATATGGATATTGTGAGTATCATATCCAAGCGGTATATTCGTATCCGTGACTTGAGTGCATCCCTAATTACGTGTGCACGAGCTGCCGCCTGTCTTCTAAGTTTCAAAAAGAATATATGAGTATGGTGGTCCCTGACAAAAAGGTTGTAGTATGTTTATAAATAGCTTGGTTCATTACTAGCTGGGTCTTGGGGATTGCCGGGTGCTATTTGGAGCATTCCAGGTTGTATAATCTGCAGAGATGTATTGGAAATATTGTATCTCCCATCTTTTCGTTTTTGTTTCAGTGTATTATCAATTTTTTGCCTTAAACATTGCAATTTAGTAATGTGAAGATAAAAGTCTTTTTCCTCAGAGAATAACTTTCACTTATTTCTCACAGAAATCGACGCAGGCAACCCAAGGCCACTTTACATTAATAGGCCTACAGCGACTTTTTCGTGGACTACGTCTGAAGAAATTGATACTGTGAGTTTACATCCCTGACTATATATTTGTTAAACGGATTTGGTGCTCATTCCAAGGGGTTATAACAATTAATCATAGTATTTTCTTCCTTTGAATTGATGTATCTTTGCGGAAACATTGAGCGATTGATTGCTTATATGTCACTTCTCATCGATTATAAGCTCATCTTAATTGTTTTTAGTTAACGGTCTGACAGCATAAAAAGCTGGTGATAATCTCTCTCTCTCTCTCATGCACACACACAAAAGAAAGAGAACTTTAATACTCGTGTATCAATTCTCATAACTATCAACTTATGCTGGAGAAATGTTTTTAGTAAATTAGCAATCTAAAAGAAAACGTTCACTCAGTCAATTCTTCAATTTAAAGTATTGTTCGGACATCTATGCTGATGTTCATGTGTTTCTTCTTCTTTCATTTCCTTCTATGCCTGTCAGATAGAGTGGTCAAAAAAGTGTTCAGATGCCTTGGATACTGTTGAGAGATTAAATAAAGGAAAAGACACTGCAGAGCTTGTTTATAGCAAAGCTGCTCATGTATTCTCTTCACTCCCTCCCTCCCTCCCTCCTTTCATAGCCTCCATCCGAGTAGGTGGTAGTTGAAACTCTTTCTTAATTCTGCCTTCGCTGTTGTAGATCTTGCATGGAAAGAATGATCTGAAACATCTCTTGCATGAAGGACTAAAGATAGGGGATTTAACCGGTCTCCATCCTGAGTGTATCACCGATACATGGATTGGCAGAGACAGGTTTACCATTGTCCTTAAATCTGAGTGGCATCTGGAATTAGTTCTCACTGAGTAATCATTTTCTATGTTTTCTGCAGGTGGGCTTTCATTGATTTGAGTGCAGGCCCTTTTTCCTGGGGTCCTGCTGTAGGTGGAGAGAGGGAGTTCGTAAGCAGAACTTAGATCTGGGCCGAATGTAGGAAAACTGTTGTGGCTAGCAGCAGGTACCTGACTATTAGGTGATCTGGTTATGGAGTTTTTTTTTTATTTCTGGAGAGTAATGGAGTGTGGAACATTATGTAATACTTCTTAAACCTGTTTTGATTATTTGTCATTTCCAAGGTTTCTTTGCTTATAATTTTTTTCTTGAAAAAATGTCTGAATCCTAGTAGAAAATAAATATGATTCGTCTGATGGATGTGGTCCTGGAAAAGTTAATACATTATCTGTAAAAAGTCAGTCAATAGCCAATCTGGTTTGGAAGAGAGTATATGCTCTTTTAAAGGCATGAGTCTTTTATCGATGGTGACACTAAAGCAGGGCTGTAATAAGTGAGAAAGATGTTTTCTTCAAGTAGAGGAGAAAAAAGTATGTGTAAATTTAGCTTATTGATTTCTTTTCTTTTCTACCCAACCCTCACCCTCACCCCCACCCTCCCCCCTCCCCCACCCCCCCC